AGTTCTTTTTAAAATCTGGTCACAACACCATTAAAGGAAAGTCAAGTAAAGTTTGCAAATACCTAAAAAAAGAAATTTTTAAAAAATTACAATTTTTAATTAAAAAAGTGATATTTGCATTTTATTGTTAGTAGAATTAGGATAATAATATAACAGTAAATATAAAGAATAAAAAATAGCTCTAACAGCCTAGTTCTATCAACACAAAACACAGTAACAATAGCGCATAGCATAAGATATTTGTAAGCACACGTAACTATGTGTCTCTAGAATAATTAAATAAGAAAAGATAATAAAAAGGATAGACAACACAACATAATAACACCACAACAAAAAGGTTTTACTTATCACATTATTTGAACAATCAAGGGACAATTTTAGTTAAACAATTTAAACAATTATTTCATAAAATAGCAAACAACTCGTAAAACATTTCTTATAAATGGTCATAATCAATTGTGATATTAAGAAATATGTAAGAGCTCAGTAATTACATACGTTTTTTTAACTTCTCCTGTACTAATTCTCATTTAAGTCTCATCTAAGAGAGAAGGAGAGAAAGATTGTGTTTTCAAAGCAGCATGTTAAAAGAAGTAAAAAAACATGGAATAAATAATAGTAACTGGTTTAATTATGTTACCAGTAAGCAAAATTAGTTATACCTTGATTAATTAATAATTTTTAGCATTTCTTAATCAAGTTTCATTGTGTCTCTAATTTTGACTAATGATTAATAGAGTAAATTTCACATCATAGTAAATTTACAAAATTAAAACCATGTTTGAACAGTAAGCAAACTTATCAAGTGATAAGAAATAAAAAAAAAAAGAAGAACATTTAAAGTTGTTATTAATTGTTACTATAAATAATAAAACTTATACTTTGCTTGGTACTTAAGTGTCTAAAGTAAAATCAAATTAACAGACATTAAACTGCTTGACCCTGAATTCTTGCAAGTAAGTTTTCCAATCGCATTGCAGCATTTCTTACATTTCAACAACGATTAAATTTATCTTGCCTAGATCAATCTTAACATCACTCGACAACAACTATTATTAAGTTGCCTAGCCTATTAGCATTTATAACTTCTTTAAGCCTAATAGTATCCATTTCAATTTCACTGTTATGATTAAACATGTCAACAGCAATACTAATGTTACAATGGAATAATAAATGAATCTAAAAGAATACACATTTGGCTAATAAGTAAAAAATTTCAAACAAATCTTTTGTTAAAAAACAACTTGAGCTCATACAAGATTAAGCAAAAAAATATTTATTTTCAATAAGAAATCTTTTACAAGAGCAACAAATGTAAAAAATTTTAATCCAAAAAATCGATAAACATAGATAAAAATAACTTTAGTAAATCATTCTTTGATTATACTGATATTTATATATATTTATAAATTAAAAAAAAAAAATCAATAAAATGGCCACATTTAATATTTTAGAAAACAGCTAAAATGTTTTAAATGACTAAATTATTAGTAGATTTTTAAATCAAAAAAATTCATAAAATTACATGTTTTGAGACCAAACTAGATTCAAATTTTACCAATATTTCAAAGTGGTTATCTTGTCAAATAAAAACATCTGGTGAATTTTTTATCTGGAAAGCAAAAAATGTCCTAATATTAATGAAATCCATTGCAGAAAAAGATTACATGATTAGTGTATTGAGCACACAGATTGAATATATAAACAATGGTCTATGAAAATGTTAACAAAGTTATTTGAAGGAATGAATCTACTCATGTCTAATTTTAATATGGTCGATCTCACTGTTGGAAATGTATTGGGGAAAAAATTCAGGCCCTAAACACACAAGCAACCAACATAATATAACAAAAAACATAACAAAAACAATAATGTTTGGGTTGTTTTAGTTAACCAGTTATAACAAATATATAAAAGAATTTTTATCTAACCAAGGTAATATATTTTAACAGGATACACCACAGTTTAATAAAAGACATCTTAATTAATATCAGTTAAGTCATGGCCAATACATATCTAATCAAAGACTATATTTTAACTTTATTTATTTAAATCCATATGTTTTTATAAGAATATATATATATATATATATATATATATATATATATATATATATATATATATATATATATATATATATATATATATATATATACAGGGTGGCCCGTTAGTTTTGTCCACCCGTTATGACTACTCATCGTTTTTACTGAAAAAGAAAAGACAACATACGATCTTATTGATATGTCTTTGCAAGTTGTTTACTAGAGGTTGTTTACTTTTACGAGGTGGAAAAAGTTTGAGAAATTTCGATTTTACACTTGACCAGAGGTTTGTAAAAGTTATAAATTCGAATTATAAAAAAATTTGTGCTATATAAAAATAGACCTAGAAAAGTAGTGAATGTATTCATTGCAAGATTTTCTGTTAAGTTTTTTTAAAGTACATCTGTCTAATACATTTCAGTTTTAAACCAGCTTACTTTGAGGTTATTTTTTTGGCAATTTGAGTTCTTTGTTGTCTCCAGTAGGCCCAAAAGTTTTGTCCACTTTAGGTTAACAGGACAATGTGCTATTTTCTATATTTTCTGTATCTGCATCTGTATTTTTAGATGGGTAAAGTTATTGGAAAATCAAATTTAACAGCATCACTGAAGAAACGTATTGCTGAGTTAGGTAAATTAGGAAAGTCTAAGGCTGAAGTATCTGCTGCAATTGGCTGCAGTTAGAAAACGTTTAGCGATACTGGCGAAAACCTGTTAATACAAACTTTAATGAAAAGAAACGCTGTGGTCGTCCAACTGTGTTGTCACCAGCATCAAAGAAGTTAATAACCAGTGAAATGAAGGACAAGTGGGGTTCATCAACAAGAAGTTGTGCGAAAAAGTTAAACTTTTCTGAACGATACATTACACGTAAAAAACAAATTTCTCGTTCAACAGTGCAACTTTTTGTTCAACATCAACCATGGGGAAAAGTGGCCTACCATAAACCAATAAAACCACTATTGACTGAAAAAAATTGAAGTGATCGCTTGAAATTTTGTGATTGGTTGGAACAAAATAGTTATCTTCAAGATGACCATGTTGGTAGACGTGTGTGGACAGACGAAAGCCCTGTTGAGTTATTTCCAGTTCCAAATCGTTAGAATATGCGAATACGGACCGATGACAAATCAAAGATCACTCCAGCTGTTCGTCCTAAGTTTGGATTGAAAATTATGGTGTGTGGTGGTATGTCACGGTATGGATTGACTGAATTGGTTGTTGTGCCAGAGAAGCAGACAGTTAATGCTGATTATTACACGAATCACATTTTACCAAAATATGTTGAGGCTACTACAAGAAACCATCAAAGTGATACTGCTGATAAGAGAAAAATGTTTTTTAATTAAGATATGATTCTTTTTCAGCAAGATGGTGCACCTGCACACTCAGCAAAAATCGTTCAGCAATTTTGTGCAAAAAACTTTCCATCGATGATTCCAAAAGAATTGTGGCCTGGGAACAGTCCAGATATTAATGTAATTGAACATTTATGGAACTTGCTTCAACAAAGTGTCTTTGAGGCTCCTAAGCCAAAAAATAGAGTTGAACATGTGGAACGGGTGAAAGACAAGTGGTCTTCTGTGACTGGTGACTATCTCTGTTTGTTGGTTGAATCACTACCACAGCGTGTCCAGGAAATTCGTGCTGCCAATGGAGGACACAGTAGTTATTAATAAACTGTAACAGTCAATTTGTATGACCTGACTTGTAATATGATTGAAATATAGTGCTTATTGCGTATAAACATATTTTGTCTGATTACTAGACTAACTGAAGTCATGCAAGGAAGGGGGGGACAAAACTTATGGGCCACCCTGTATATATATATTTATATTTGTCATTTATCAAAAATATCAAACAAATATAAAAAATTTTTTTACAAAAATTTACATACCTTTATAAAGATGCAAAACACTTTGAACAATGAAATATGGAAAAGCATCATCATTTTTGTTCAACTACTCCAGTAGAAATTTTTTTTTCTTTCTATTCTTTGTTATTTTTTCTAAGAAAGAATATTTATATAGATACAGAGAAATATAAAATATAATGAAATATAGGCACATTTATGTATATAAACTTACTTGTCAACAAATTACAGTCAGTTTTCCATGTTAAATACATAAATTTATATATCTAAAATAATAAGTTTAATAAAAAATAAATCTAATAATAAAAAAAAAAATTGTAAACATACTCAAATAAGTACCAGTTCTACTGTATAAAAGTACTTATTATTATTAAATATTATTCTATGAAAAAAAAGTAAAACTAATAATAATAAAAATTGAATTGAAGTGGTTAAAAAACACTTAAGCTCTTTTTAATTAATCTTGTGCAGACCTGTCAATTTTTAGTTTACAGAACTATTAAATTTAATTTAAAAATTTGATTAAAAAAAAAAAATTATATTTTCAGCAAATGTTTTTGCTATATCTTATTTTCTATTTTTTAGTCTTTACAATGAGTTACAGCATTTTACAATGCAAAGTAATGTTATGTAGCATTGTTATTGTTATTATTAAACTGTATTCAGCCTCATAATTATACACTTATTACATCTATAGGAACACTACTGTGTCAAGGATGAGGAAAATTAAAGTATTTTAAAATTTTTTATGTGTACAAATATGGTTTTATTATGTAAACATTATTTGTACTCTTGTACAAATAATGTAAGTGAGAATGTTGATGAAAAGTTCTGGACTTTTCAGACTTGATGAAAAGTTCTGGACAAATGAAAGAAAAGATTGTAATAACTAACATTTTAATTATAGTTCTTATTTTTAATAAACTTTTGTTGCTGGTTTAAAAGATCCATACTAAAAATGCATCAAATGCATTTTTTGGTAGCAGTAAATTATAATAATCAGAAGTTGACACATTTTATTCCTATATCAAAGGTAGTTATGTCAAGATTTTATGGAAAAATTTTGTATTTTTCTTTTTTTTTTAG